GCGACCCACAACATTCTACCGCCACCAGAGCGTCTCCAGAGTGGAACCTGGTCACTCACAAATGCCAAACTAAACATAGACCGTATACATGCAATCTTATCTCATGGTCCCCGCTTAGATGTAATTTCACGTTTAAGCAAGGTGCTGAGGGTACCACACTTACCGAACACAGTAACTGTAAGTATGCCTGCCAATGGCAAGGTCACTTGTTTTGTTTTTGCCCCAAAAGTACTACGCAATTTTTAATGTGTTCAGATCTAGGATAAGATCCTAATTTTTACTGATTTGTTATCTGTTCAGTTATCTGTATTTGTTTATTTTTTTCCTTTTTGTTTCTGCTATCGTGTAATTCCTGATAGTCTAAATGGTTTCAATGTCATGTGCATAAAAATGTATTAACGCTTTAGGGGCCCCTTAGGTTAAGCCCTGATTAAGATCGGTAAATATATCTGTTCAATGGGTATTAAAATGATCTCTATTAATGTCAATGGCTTGAATCATCTGGCCAAATGTACAAACATGTGGAAACAGGCATTTAAAGATAAATATGATATACTCTGTGTTCAAGAGTCTCATTTCGTAGATTCGGCCCCTCTTAAATGCGCACACAAAACATTTCCACATGTATATACTGCCAATGCCTCTGAAAAAAAAAAGAGGAGTACTCACTGCTATTAGAGATACACTAAACTTTGTTCTTCATAAAAATATCTCAGACCCTGAAGGCCGGTACCTGATTCTTATATGTACAATATATAATACAGATTACAATGTTGTAAATTCATACTATGTTATACTATGCGGTGACTTCAACCTCATAGTTGACAGAAACCTAGACTCAACAAAATCTCAAAAAAAGACTACCCCTTTCTAATAAATGAAGACGTCTATGACGTTTGGAGGTGTCAACATTCAGGTGAAAGAGATTACATTTTTTTTTTTTCGGCTAGACACCAATCTTATTCGAGAATTTACCTTATATTAGTAGATAAATGGCTACTGCAAAATGTTACCACATCAACCATAGGCAATATAACGTGGTCAGACCATGTGCCGATTTCAATTATTATTTTGAATAACCACTTATTGGAACCACACAACCTCTGGTGCATAAATTAGTCCATTATAAAAATCCCCAACAATAACTTGATACTTGAAAAACATCTTGAGGAGTTCTTCCATATAAATTTGCAATCTGTATCAAACTCTGGCACAATATGGTGCGCTCACAAAGCATATATACGTTGTATAATTTTACAAATGTGTGCTAAAGCTAAAAAGCAAAGAAATAAACAGCTAATGACTTACTACAAGATATTCACAAACTAGAAATGCAAAATAAAGCTCAAGTCAATCACACCACCTCGAATACACTCTCCAGACTAAGCAACGAATTACGCTCCTTACTAATGTACCAATTTGATAGAAGTACGCAAAGATTAAAACTCAACTACTTCTCTAATGGAAACAAAGCAGGGGAATACCTAGCGAATAAGATGAAATCCCTGCATACCAGAACTAAAATACTGTGTCTTATCGACCAGATGGATTTTCCAGCGAATACTAAGGAGTCCTCATCTAATCCAACTATACACTGATGCATTTTCTTCCACCTCATTACCTTTCAAAATCCTACAAGCATTAATCGTAACAATCCCCAAATCAGGTAAAGATACAGACAACCCACAAAATTGTAAGCCTATTTCTTTATTAAATACTGATATTAAGATTTACGCTAACATTATAGCATGCAGACTGACCAATATACTTCCATATTTGATCAAGCCTGATCAGTTAGGCTTTACTAAAGGTAGACAAATATCTGATGCAACCCGGAGACTAATCAACATAATTAATTACGCAGACTTACAAAAAATGCCCTCCTGATTACTTGTTCTGGACACCGAAAAGGCTTTTGATAGGATACACTGGACATGCATGTTCCAAGTATGGCATACATTTGGATTTTCAGGAACAAATATTAATGCTATTTCAGCACTTTACTCAAATCCTTCCACCCAAGTCTATGTATCTAACATGCTATCCAAACTATTCTTAATTACGAATGGTTCCAGCCAGAGATGTCCATTGTCGCCACTAATTTTTTACTTTCATTTGAACCTCTTGGTGAAACTATAAGAAACAGTCCAGGTATACATTGCTTATATATATGTAAAAACCACCACAAAACAACGCTCTTTGTGAATGACATCATTTTAACGCTAACTAATCCCTCTATTTCTTTAGCAGCAATTCAACAAACTCTCATACAATTCAGTAATATTTCATATTATAAAATAAATGCATCCAAATCTAATATTCTAAATCTAGGTGTATATCACATTCTAAAAATGCACCTCCAAAACAAATTTCCCTACATCTGGGAAAATGAAGCCATTCCTTATCTTGGAATATTATTGACTAACAAAACCTTTGACCTAGGAACTCTCAATTATTCTAAATTCATTCCAAAAATTCAAACCCATCTAATCAAATGGATAAACATGAACTATCCTGGTCTGGCAGACTGGCCACATTTAAAATGTTTATATTGCCACAGATTTTATATCTATTTAGATCAATTCCAATTCCAAATAAATCTTCATATCTAACAAAACAACAATCTATGCTTAAAAAATACATCTGGGGAAATATGAGACGTAGATGCTCACATAATATATTAATCAAACACAAAAAAATAGGAAGAATGGGATTTGTTAACATTAGGGACTATCACAAAGCATCATTATTAGACCAACTCAAACATTGGTTTATAGTTGAAGATGATACAAAATGGGGTGGTGACATTGAAAAAACTCTAGTCTCTAGTACAGATTTAAGATCCATACTACTAGCAAGCTCATGGCAATGGATTCCTACAAGTAAAACAACACCAACTATACGAGCCTCAATTGAAGCCTGGAAATTCTTAAGCTCCATGCCTATAGATACTCTCCAAATAAGTCCTCTTCCTACACCTAAAACAGCCTTAGAAGTCATAATGCCTTACATAGATATCTCGAATTGGAAACTTAATGGTATAAAACAAAATACAAGATATTTGTGTTAAAAACGACATAAAAAATTTGTAATTCCTTATGAAAGAATTTAACCTCCTCCCTTCTGAAAAATCAACCTATACACACATCAGTCGCTGCCTATCGAAACATCCAGTAAAAACAATATATATACCCAAAGTATTTTTACAGTTCTATAGCTCCGCTACTCCTAAATCAGGTGGTATAACCCTATTTTATAACTTTCTACAATGTAAATCATAATTTAATATGACTACTCCCTTAATCAAGTGGGAAAAAGACTTAGAGACTGAAATCTCTAATGAGCAGTGGGAATGTGCATTCAGGAATGTGTTTTCAGCTACTAGATGTGTTAACTATTGGGAGCTAATGCACAAAATTTTCACAAGAAGATTTCCTCATAATATCGGAAATTACTGGGATATTAATACAACCTGATCCTACTCTAGCCATTCTTAATATATATATATAGACACAGATCCAATCCATTATCGACTTTTAGTGACACATATTCTTCTAGCATCAAGACTTACCACTAATAGACATAGGAAAATAGACTTAGCCCCTTCTCTAAAGGAAGTCATTGAGCTAGTCCAGACCCACTTCATCTATGAGAAATCTTTAGCTTACCAAAACAATAGAATTACCAAATTTGACAAACCTTGGAAACCCTGGTCTGACTGGTTCAGAACTGTAACCTAAGATATTATTATGTTTAACCTTTTCTTGGATACTCTAAAATGATTCTTTCCTGGAACTAGTAGGATTGTTAGGAATTATTCAATATTTTCTTTTTTCTCTTTGTTAAACTTTACCGCAGCACCTATACTGTGATATTGTGTAGCTTTTCACTGTCCTATTTTTTGTTTTTGTTTTGTTTTTTTGTTGTAACTATATTTGTAAAAACAAATAAAAATGTATTATGAAAAAAAAAGATACCCTTTTTTTAAATTTATAATAAACTTACCCAGGCATGTGGCCTGGGTGGCCAGGAAAAGGAAGGCAACAAATATGCTGCCCTAAACTATGCAAGACCACATGAGCTCAACATTGATGGGGTATCTAGCAAGGGGAGTGGCAAAGCTCATGTTGATAGGAACCAGTGGCTCATCTTAACATCATGACCCCCAAAAATTGCTGGGGGGTGTGATGAGAGGTCTGAGGGGTGGGTCTTATTGTAATTTGGAAACCCTCTTTAGAATAAAGGGGCCACCTGATATTTGCCCCATAGTACCTCTTGTTACTCTTTCACAAAAAAATGCACAGTAAATAGTAAATAAAAAAAGTCACACCATGTAAAAATAAAACTCCTTTATCAGAAAAAAAACAAAACAAAACAATATAAATCCAACAATAATCATGTTGTCCAGTGATGTAGATGAAAGAAGATCACAATGACGTGATAACCCACTGCACCAAACAATGTAACCCTGATGCTACTTCCCTCACAAATGAAAGATGACAGCAGACAGCTATATGTCAACAAACTTTCCAGGAATCCTAAGTGACCTAATTTTCTTTATATGTCATGACTATACATGGTCAATTACATTACTTAGGATATCTACGGCTAATTTACTGACAAACAGAAGAACTACTGCAAATTACAGACTAATGGCTAACGTTTGTGTAAAAAGCATTAGCTGAGGGTTCAGACAGGCAAACTGTTCAAATATAGCCAGTTTGTTTGAGTAAGTGTAAACAAGCTGGGCTATGGATGGTCTCATGTTCAAGACAAACCCAAAGCTAATCCCTAATTGTGACAATTTATTTCAAAAGCTACCAAGAATTCAGATAAAAAGTCATGTATATAATTGTTAACGTCATCTGGTTTAAAATCACTACTTCCATATTACTGATATGCAATGTGAAACTAAGTAGCCACTTATTCTAACAAAAGATTGTAAGCAGTAAAATATTATTTTGTTATGTTATTATTATTTTGTTATGTTATTATCATACCCGTCTTAGGATCAATAGAAAAATAAGGTTGTCCCTGAAGAATGCTATAAACCACTCTTGCACTGCTTCCATATGTAGGATCATCAGCATCCGTTGCTTTCACCTGAAGTACATAGGCACCTAGAAGTAAAAAAAAAAGCAATTTGTTAATGTTTGTCAAAATATATATATATTACTTAGAAATCTGGCAAATTTCCATCACATTGTGTTTTTTTTACTTTAACAAGGCATAGAAATTGTAACAAACAGAGTCAATATTGGTCCAAGGTCTATGTGATTAAATATTAAAAACAAAAAAAAAATAATGTTAAGTTGCAGTTGTTCATATGGTGTTCAGGGTTGTAAAAAGTGTAGCATACCACATATTTTAGGTGTTCTGCTCTAAAAAAAAAGTATACAATTCTATACTAACTACAATTATCAATGTTGCAATTTTTCAGAGCATTTTTCTATTTTTAAATGTTATCTAGTGATTTTTTTTTATATGCAGATCTAAGCAACAGACTTTTGTGTAGGCCCACCTTTCCTTGGCTCCCCTGCAGCTTTGTTTGGACTCTTGGCTTTAGTAGAGAAACTCAATAGTCCAGGCTATGGGGACCATATTCTTCCTATGATGTAGTGATGGATGCCAAATGCTAAGCTGTAGTGCTGTCATGGGGGGTGAGGAGGAAGTTACTATTGCTGTGTAACCTCCAATCGAGATAATTTGAAAAAATCACAGGTCTTATTTTTAAGTAATAAAGCCTTATTATTTTTTATTACTTTTTCTAAATATAATTTTCTTTAAAATAATGTTATCATTAGGTAAGCATAAAGAAAACACAATGCCCTCAGAGATTTTTATTTTTGAAAAGTAAAGCAACTGCCTAGAAGTATATCTGCTAGAAATCCCTTCTCTGTGGACTGATTTGGTTTCTAACTATTTATCATCTGGTTTCACATATCCATCATAGTAACATCATTTTCGTTATAAGTTACTGAGCTCTCTTTGGACAAGCAGATGGCAAGTTTGTGTAATGAGCCCTGAAGTCAGGGAATTCATACCATTAGTAAAGAAAAAAAAAGTAAAAAGGGTTGTACAGAGGATGATTTTCTGGATAACAAAGGCAATAGTAGATATAATTTTCATTTTTGCTCATTGGCAAGTATTTTACATTCAAAAGATTAAAGCAGCTGACAGGTCCAGTTAAGGAATCCCTCATTCAATAAATGCTTAGGTTGTTACTGCTGACTTCCTTCCAAACATACTAGGGGATTGGCTATGATGCTAATGGTATCAATATATCAATACGTCTGAATCACTGACACAGAATATATATGCTGCCTGGAAGTCAGTACTTCACTTGTTGCATACTTGTTTCAGGTTAGTAAATCAGCACTAAAAAGTGGATTAACATGATTGTAAGGCAAAAGAAATGCTCAAAATACAGTCAGTAATAAAAGCCTGAAAATCTCTCTCATTATTTATTTACTTAAAGGCGAACCTAAACTGCATCTGAGTACCAAAAACTAAAAGCGCTATTTGATTAATTTTTAATATTCACAGAAAACTCCTATCCATGTCTCCAAGGGCTTTAAAAAACTGAAACATCATTTATAAAAATAGCCCCTAACATTTCTGGCTGTGAGTATGAGCAGGTGATTCACATAGCAATTACATCCTGGAATCCATCTGCACTTAGCTCGGGCATACAGGCACAAGCGTATGCTTAGCTGAGAGAACCCCTCCTCTACTCCTGAAGACTCTTGGGATGTATGACACCATTTGCCTAGGCATGAAAATTTTGAAGTAACTAAATAAATGTAAAAAACGGTTTAAAACAAATATATATATATATATATATATATATATATACACACACAATACGATGAAATTCAATTTTGAAATTTTAAATGCAGCTAGTATAAGTATCTTAATCTCAGTTCGGCTTGGTATCTACCTTCTGCAGTCAGTTATACAGAAGCATGCAAACTGAGAGAGGGTGCTTGAGAACAGGAGCCATCTTGATGTGTTGTTTGCACATGTGCTGACGAGGAGCATGGGGGTTATTTACTAAAACTGAAGAGAGCCAAATCTGGTGCAGCTCTGCATAGAAACCAATCAGCTTCTAACTTCAGCTTGTTCAATTAAGCTTTGACAAAATACTGGGAGCTGATTGGTTTCTATGCAGAGCTGCACCAGATTTGGCACTCTCCACTTTTAGTAAATCAACTCCATGGTGACAGGAAAAGCAATATAAATAAGCAGAGGAATTAACTGCTACTGCTCCTTCACTCTCCACAAATATGCTGGAAGCAGAGATGTGACCTTGCTTTATTGCTTTGTCACAGAAGGGAAAATAAGGTCACCAATCTAGCAGTATAGTTTGGGTAGACTGTCTAAATCTCTGGTTGAGATGGTCAGAAATGCAATCTATTGAGTTGTTTGCCCCTTAGGACAATCCTGAATTTGTGGTTAGGCTTCAATATGCATTGTAAGTGCTTGAAATTAATAAATAAATAAAAAAGTTCAGTAATATCCTTAGGTTACTCTTGTTCTCATTAGAATTTAGCTACCATATTGTAAATTGGGACACTCAACAAGTTTTTTTAATGAAAGATTACTTGGACATTGACTAGAAAAAAATGTAAAAGCCACCCATATGAAAAGTCATTTTCCAATTTCAAATAAGTCACGTTTTTAATTTCCACCTAACATAGTGTATAAATTAGATTTATACAGTAAATAGGTTTAAATACTCTCCAGTAGGGTAAACATTGGGGTTGATTTACTAAAGTCAAATAGAACATGCACTTTGCACATTAATGAAAAAAAAAAAAATATGAGTAAACACATACAAGTCCTGTTACAATCAAAGTTCAAAGGTCAGAATGTATGATTAAGTCTAATTGACGAAACATGTCAAAGGGAAGTGATGTCAGACGCACAGCTGAATCGGGAGTGATCGAGCGGCCATTTTGGATCCTGGAAATCTCTATTTGAGACACAGGAGAGAATCTGCTGAGGATTTCCGGAGGTCTGGCTGGGCTGATTTCTTGTTTGATGGCAATTTTAAAGATGAAGATATATGTAAGCAAATAAAATAAAGTATATTCTGTTTAAGTTTTTACAGAAATTACACTATTGTGGTTCCATTTATGGTGGGCATCGTTTGGAGACTGATGTGGAGAGGAGTATAATACTGTGGCTGTGAAGATCCCTCTGGAGGAACTTATTATATATCAGTACCCTGCCTGGAGAATTACTAAGCTTGTGTTTATATATTTTTTTGGTAAGGGTATCTATTTTGCACACTCTAGAAGTGGACACATTTTTCACAGTTTTTTATCACTAGATTGATTTTTTTCACAGTTTTTTATCCACAGATTGTTCACGGGCACGTGTTTACACATCTATTCACTTTACCATATAGTGATCATGAGTGTTTTGTGTGAATCACATGTGTTATGGAATGAATAATTCAAGTTGTTAAGGATAATACACTATGTGCATTTTCCTTTCTTTTTTTGAGGTTTTTTTGGTTTCAGAAATTACTTTGGAGGCTGTCTTCACCTGGAGGTTGATTTTGAGATTTTGAATGACTTTGATATTTTGAAGGACTAATTTTTTATTTTGGGACTTGTGTGTTTTTTGTTTTGAGCACTTATTATACCTGTATTTATACTTGGGATACTAAGCATATTTCATAAGATTATCACACTTTTTGGGGTTTAAAGTGTTTATATGCGTTTTGGGGAAGTTTTGTGAATAAGGGAAGGGTACACCGTATTTGATTGTCATTATTTTGCACTAGGGGGGTTTATTTGTATTTATACTTGGGATACTAAGCATACTTCATAAGATTAGTACACTTTTTGGGGTTTAAAGTGTTTATATGCGTTTTGGGGAAGTTTGTGAATAAGGGAAGGGTACACTGTATTTAATTGTCAGAATGTACTTGTCCCTTTAAGGGTCAGATGGATGCCAGATTATTCGAGCAATCTTTTGCTGGAATCTTATATTAAATTAGATAGAATCCAACTTAAAATATTCAATAGGTATATGTCTATTATGCCCCAAATATAGCAAATATATTATACACAAATAGTATATATGTTAAGGTTTTTGTTTTATTAATTTATACAATTTTAGTGGGAAGCACAATGATTTTTAAAATTTTCTTTTGAGGACCTGTTGTTGGGAATGTAAAAAAGATTAATGTATTACCTTTAGAAAAAGCATTAGAAGCCAAAGAATACTATGGAGGAAAAATGGTGATGCATGATACCAGCAGAAGATTGTAGAGAATAACCTGGCATCCATCTGCCCCTTAAAGGGGAAGGCCCATATTGACCTATTTTATCCATATGTCTAATGATAAGATGATAGCTTCATGTGGCTGGCAATGGATCACACTGGGAGTCATGTTTATGATGTTAAAGTGATTGTGGAGCACAAAACACCAATATAATAAGACTTTGATTGTAACAGGACTTTTATTTGTCAAATTGCAATTATTTAATTAACCAGTTTCTGCCCACCCACATTACTGCGGGCAGCCTGGATGACATATATGTATGCAATCCAGCCGTGGGCACACAGGGTGCCACTCCCATGGCTGCTGTCTCCACTGGACACTGTGGATTGGGGTTCCCAGTACTCATCCACTTTGAGCGGCCAGAGGCGAACATGATCACAGTGTTAACAAATCTGTTCTGAATGAATTTCATTCATAACAGCTGTGATTCCTATAGTGATGCTGTGATTGGTCCACAGCTATTACATGGTACCAGTGGAATCAATCACAGCCCCCTGTACCATGTGATAGCTGTGGGCCAATCACAGCACAGAATAAAAATCACAGCAGTTATCAATGTATACCATTTATGACAGTTCAAAACATTGCTGTTACCATGATTATCACTGTAACCGCAATCAAAGTGTTAAAAAAGAAAAAAAATCTCTGACCCCCCCCCCCCCCCCCCGGAATAGTACAGTGAACCATTCTGTAGGACACTGAACTACTATGCTCTAAGTATGTAGAAAAAAAAGGAAAAAAAGGAAGAAAGTTAAACAAAATTAAATTTTAAAAGTTTATATATTTTTTTAACATACTGTCACCAATCAGTATCCCTGATCACTGC